AAAAGGTGAAGAAGATTGCTTAATTGGGCTAAGTTTTCGCCTTGGACTTAGTCAAATTCATCTAATTGGGCTAGAGAAATTTCAGGATAGGACTTCTTAAAAGACGTAAAGGTTTGTTTTAATTGAAATTGACTTTATCCTATTTTTTTGGCAAAGTGATGAAATATAGAGTTTAGGTCTAGATGAGGGGTCACTTATTTAATTGGTTCAGGTAGGTGGACTTTGACTTTGAGGTCAAAGAAAAGAAATATACTTTGACCAAGCAAATGAGCTAATGACTATACAAATAGAAAAAGAGTGCTCCTAGTTGATTTGAATAAGGTAGTAAAGGCTAAGGCTTATGGGTTGAATGTCAATGACACTATCACTTACTTGATCTAGGTTAAGCAAATAAGGGGCATGTTTTGATAGATTGTAAGCGAATGAAACACAAGAGGTTCTATACTTTTGAGGTTAAGGCAAATGAAAGTTACATTATTTTTATTTCACAACAAAATTGATATATTTGGTTGGATTGTGTTTAAACAAATAAAATATGATTGAACATCTTTTTTGTTTCTAACTTAAGATTTTAAACCAAAGAGGATATCCCAATCTTTTGAGTTTTGGGGACGACTCTTTTCATATAAGTGGTTAAAACTAATGGCACATACTATGCATAGAATCCTATGCAATTAGGATGGTTTGTTGATTTTTAGGTCAAACAAATGGAAGATAATTCTAGATTTTGACTATAGAATAAACTAATGCTATTTTATAATTCTTTAGATGCCATTTTGAAAATTTCATATGGGATTTAGAAAGAGCTTTGAAGTGAAGAACCTAAATAGGAGAGACTTGGATTGGCTTTTAATTAATTTAAATCAAGATAAAACTAAGGTTTGTCTAAGGCTGCTTGTCTTTTAGATGGGCCCTAAACAAATTTTAGGCCTTTTTAATACTCATTAAAAATTGTTTTAAGAAACCTATAAATGGAGTTATCAAGAATGCTAAGTAGGATAAATCTTTTTTGAGGAAATCAAATTTGGGTTTGGCCTTCACAACTTAAGCTACTTTAAAATTTGCTTAAAGACATGGGTAGGTTCCAAATGGATTCAGGAAGATGGAATTGTGATTTTTGAGAGAGACATATATCATAGAGAGTCATAAAAGAACGGATCATATTATCTCAATGAACATAAATGGTCGTAAGGCTTTATTGCTCAAACATTGGAATTAATAGAAGTCAGAATAATCATATATGTGCTTGTCTTTTGAGCACTTTGTAGGGAGGGAGACGACATCACACAAAATGGTGAAAGATAGTTCACACTACAGACTTCAAAGAAAAATATATATAATTTGAATATACCAGAGACTTTCCCTACTCAACGTTATATATTCACTTATGCCTCATATGTATTTAGCAGGTAACCTGGCATGATATGGTAGGAACTTGCCTTTTGGGTGGCCTATGGGATGAACTTGCCTGAATGATATGGGTGACTACATGCTTGAAACTCATAGGAGGACTCACCCAATGATCAACAGGCGCTACTAGCCCATGCTTTCCTAGGAGCTTTCCCGAAGTAGGGTGGACCATGACCTCCATACCAATAACTCGGCACTTGCTATGTACCTCGTCGCCACATACATTAGTCGCTTCCTCCAAAGTAAGCATCTCCTTATCCGAACTTAACTATAGGAAAGCGCCTATTCAAGGAGTCTCTAGCTCGCGCTACTATGATTAACTGATCATTGAGCCTGTCTTGTCCATATTTACAAATTACTCACCTTCTCTCCTCATCCAGGTGATCCAAGGCTTGGCACAGGTGGCCAGCAGCTTCCAAAGCATTTAAGCACCTCCTCATCTAAATTAGCTCACAGGCTCACTCACTCTTACTCAACACTACTAAGTTCACCCAGACCATGGAGCTCGCCCATTGTACACTCGATAATATTGAATTCACCAATATATTAATCATCAAAGCTCTATAGCCCCAGCTCTCCTTAAGCCAAATAGGAGACATGTTTAGGGTTTTATTTTACATTGTATGAGTATATTGTGTAGTGTTATATATATATATATATATATACATATATATATATATATATATATATATATATATTCTTTGTATATTCTTTCCTATAGTCCTCATAACACTATAAATAAGGGGCGATGATGAATAGTTTGGACTTTTAATTGATATGGTGGATATTATGCTAGTTTTGAAATTCTTAGTTTTTTGTGCATTTAACAATTTTTCATCTATTCTCCCTACTTTCCATTCACATAGGTCCTAGCTTACCAAGTTAATTTGCTAGTAAATTTGGGCGTCATTCACGGATAAATTTGGATTCAACAAATACATATTATTGAATATAGTTTATTTTATTGTGGGTAGTTAGGTTTTTCCATTTGTGCAAGCCCCCTAGTTATTTCCATCTTAGGCTAGTATACATAGACACAGACATGACCATATGGATATGATATGGATGTGATAAACATTAATTATTGAAAATAGAAGTCACGGATATGGGTTGGACATGACATAATAGTTTTTGTCTTCAAAGTAATGCATAGAAATTAAATATGAAGAACATTAAAAAGATTAAAAGAATGACAAGCCATTGAACTTTAACATCAATTTTGTAAAGCTAAATGGTCCATAAATAGTTGTGTAGCTTATTATATTAAAAAGTATGTATAAATTGTTTAATATACTATAAACATTCAAGTTTCAAAAGTCAATTATTCACTAGAAAAAATAATAGGACTAGCTTCTTCATCATGTATTTGTCTTTGGCCTTTAATATCATCATTTATGGTTACTAAGGGCATGCCATTAATCAATTTAAGGTCAAATAGAATCAATTAAGGAGATTTTTGAATCACATGTACTTATCTAAAGCCAAGGCTAGAGTCAGAAGGATACATGGCTTCTTTAGGTGAACTTAGGGTCACTAGCAAGGCCCGATAGTCAAGATGCTTGTCCATTTATAATCTTCTAAGTGACTGTAAAGGTAAGTGATAGGGCCATTGGGAGGACTATGATCATCTAAGATTGTTTTATCTTCTCCACTTATTAATCTACTGGCAGTGGGAACTTCTAGGTCTCATGATTCTCGAATTTAGCCTTCGCTAGAAGGATAAGGAAGTTCAGGAAGGTAGCACAAGTGAAAACAATTAGGCAACGGACTGAGGTTGTGTGTGAGAGAGAGCTGTCTGAGCATGGTTTGCATGCATGAGTGTCATGAGAGATAATGATGCTACGGTAGACCTCCTCGGCTCTATCCCAAAATTAAATACCCTCCACGATTCTTACACCTTGTGGGTTCAAGATGAGGGCAAGGTGTAGGAGGAAAATCATGTTCCCTTTGCTGTTATGGATTGATGGCTTGGATCATTTTCTGTTACCTCTGATGGCTTAATTCTTCTAGAAGAAGAGTATGTGATCATAAAAAAAAATTATTGGGAACCACCTGCACGCACTATTTCTTCCATGTGTGTCTCCAGCCATCTTATCCCAATCGCTTAATTTGTAGAGGCGCTAGGAGAAAAAATAAAGCCAATATATATATAAGAAAAGAGAGAGAGAGACTTGTTTTCCCTCTTTCATTTTTGTTCATTTATTTGAACTTGGTTACCTATTAGGCTAGACTATAACAAATTAATAATGAATTTGGGGAATTCAATCTGTGCTATTTAAATAACAGGCTTGTTTGCCACAATATATGGGGCTTTTTTATGAATCATTAAATGAAATTGTTTAGATTATGCCGGTGTTTCTCTTTAAGTGTCAAGATAAACATGATTGAACGATCAATATATGCCTGGTCCTTTCTCATTCATTCCTATCAGTGCATTATGCCATGTAAGAAGTAAACTCTAATTCGTGAAAAGTCTTTCTTATAGAGCTTTTAACAATTTTGTCTTTGTTTTGTGCATTTTGGCTGTCAAGTCTTTCAACACTGATTTTATTTATAATCTTATGGGTATACTTTCTACCTTTAGCCTATTCGCCTAAATCAATTTTCAACTATTTTATGCTTGATTGATTGGGTAACAAACCAATAGGGAAGTAAAATGTGCTGATTTGAACAAGGGCTTGGTTGAAGATAATGGTTTAAGTCATTAAATTAACTTTTGTGTAATGCAAAGTTATGATTGTGTGCATCAAACCCTTTCAATTGGGGTGAGCTTCGATACTGGCTATTTGCCCTTTTTGTTTTACCTCCATTATGTGGGTAAAATATATTAAAATTATCCATGCATAAAACTGAAAGCAAGAAATTTAAAACGAGGTTCTCTGATAGCTATAGATACCCTTGAAAAAGGTGCTCCATGGAAAACTCTCAACTTCTTTGTCTATCTTGGTCAAAGTTCAATGATTTAGTCTACAAGAACAAATGTCTTATATTGCACATAATATGCTGGCGGAAATAGTTTGTATAAGATTGCTGTTTTTTCAACTTCTGCTGATAATGATGACACTTTCAAAACTATAGTTCCCAGTTTTGAAAATTTAGAAATGATGGCGCATTCAGCACTGATCCTGCTGTTAATGATGACACTTACTATAGTACTCAGTCTTGGAAATTAAGAAATGGGTACATGGGATAACTTCATTTGTATGCATGATTAATGAATAAAGCTACTGTTGTTACAGTCAAATTAGTTACAATTGTACTAATTTTCTTGTTTAAAATGTGCTAGAAGCATGGCATGTATGCGGATCCTAAATTATCGGAGTTTTACCTTTAACTTGTGGTTTATTTCCTGAGATATTAAGGGAAAGTTGTGCTTGCTCACGTTGTATATTTTTATTGGGCTTTGTTTTCTTTGTATATCACTCTTAGCGCCTTTCTTTTGTTCAGTTGCACCTGCATCCCCTGATGTTAAGGACATGACATGCTTGTTTCTCTCTATGATTATTTATTTTCCGGGTCCAACTACGTTTACATTATTTTTGAAAGAAAATCTTTTATCATTGATTATTATAACTTGTTTCTTTTACTAGGTTGTGGCAGTTGCTGTTGCTGTTACAGCAATAAGGTCACTGGATTTAACTGGTCCTATGAAGTTCTTTCGAACTTTGCCTGCAATTCTTCTTCCGGGCTTGTCTTATGTTGTCTACTCATTGCTTGAATGCTTAACAAGGATGTGTAATTATCCTAAACTCCGCTTTCAATCTTTTAATTATTAAGAAAATATTGTTCTTAGTCAAAGTTTAAGCTTACCTTGCTTTTTGTGTTCATGTAAATCACGCTGTACGTTTGTGAATGAATATGTTATTTTGCTAAAGCTTTGTTATATGGATGAAGTTAGACGTGTGAATGTTGTAGCAGTACTAGTGTCCGTGTTAGTGTTTAAAAAAGTGTTTTACGTACACTTGTTTGAAAATCACATGGAATAATTTAGGAAGCCAGTCATTGAAGTGTGCATATATCAGTCTCGTGAAGTATCCATGCTGCTAGAAAATCTAAAAACATTATTGCATGATATCTTGGTCTCTCTCTTTCGTGGTAAAGATGTCAGGCATTTTGATTGAGTTTGTTAAGAGGTTCAAGATAGCGCTTTCCTTCTGCAGTAGAATTTCTATTTCATAGTGATCACTGTGGTAGGAATTTTGTGGTCTTAGCTCCTTTATTCTTGTATTTAACTTTAGCCACAATGGTGATTAAGTTTAGTCGGAAGAGTTTTACCATGTTATCTCCTTTTATTATTATTATTTTTTTCTTTTTCATTTTAATATTTTCACCATTAGCCTTATCCCAACTCTTTGATCTTGATTATGAATCCATATTTTTCATGCATTAATCTTTTTCTTACAATTTTATCTTTGTAACCTTTGACCTACCTATTTTCATTCATAATCCTTTCACATAATTTATCTATATTTTTATTGATTCGCTTCCTATTTTTTGTTGTACATACCCAATTAACCCAAGTCTATTTTATACTATTTATCTTCAAATAGTAGGTGATGTTCATATTATATATTTTTATAATAATTTCCTAATTAATCATTTATAGTTTTAGCACAAATACATATTAATTCTTATTTATTTCACACCATATGCTACAATGATTTTTTACTGCCATCTAAATATTTCCTTCATTGTTTAAACTTGTCAGTTAGTTTGTGTAGAAATTTTACAAATTAGAATGACATCATCTTCAAATAACATATCATGGTAGGTCACTTTGAATATTCTTTCCTTGGTGTATTTAGAAAACAAATTTTCCACTTCTCAATTATTTTTAATACTAGTTAATATTGTGTCATACACATCTTTAATAATTTTAACTCATCTTTAACACATTACATATCTTTAATATTTTTGACATACTTTTAATATATTATCGACCATAGTGCCTACCAAACCAATTTTCATAGTGCCCAATCACATGCCTTCTTAGATTAATAAAGCTCATATGAATATCCTTTCTATGCTCTAAAGATACTTTTACATTTGTTGCTTTAGCTAAAAAATAAATCACTTTTTTAATCACTAATCTCATTATTTTTAAGCCTATGCTCTCCCACAGTTTTATTATATGAATCATAAGTTTGCTTCCCTTTTAATTACTACTTTGAATTTTTTTTTTATTTTTGTTATATTCTTATTACTTCAATCATTTAGTATCTTTCTTTAGCTTTAATGAAAATATTTTTTTAACAAACTATTTCGATATCTCTAATGACTCTCCAATATTTGATATCATATTTAGACCTAATAGCTTTAACTTTATGCATTTTCTTCACCACTAACCCAATTTCACATTTTCATTGATCTATATTTCATGTTTCTATTAATTATACTTTTCTATAAGATTTCTTCCATTATTTGGTTGGATGTATTTAGCATATTTGTCAATGACGAATGGTGCTCCATGGCACAAAGTTCCTCGTGGAGCCATGGCGCATAGCTCATGGTGTGGCGTGCACCATTTTAAATATAACGCACAATGTAAAATAATATATATATATATATTTTTTGATATTTTATTATTTTGATATTTAATTAATTAATCATTAATTATGATATTAATATTTAAATTTTAAAAAGTTTTACTTTAATTTGTAATTTGAAAATTTTAACTTGTTAACAAAATAGTGTGCGCCATTTGATCCTTGTGCCATTGATCATATGGTACAAATAGCATTCACTATTTTGATGTGCCGTACCAAGCAAATATCGCCGTATGTGCACCTTGCCGCATCGCATGCCATGACACGTACCATTTTGTGCCATTGAAATGTATGGTATTTAGAATGCATGTATTTTATAAATGATTGAAAAAAGAATGCAAAGGAAAAGGAAATACAATACAAAAGGAATGCAACATTCTGGAAATATTTGTAGTTGTTTGGATTATGGTTTAGAAAGTCGAGGGCCATTATTTGAGGCACACGATCGGCTCCTCGAGTCTTAAGCCTCATCAGTTATGGTGAGGCTTGCAGCTTTTTCGTACGAAGCATTTAGAGGCGCCGCCTCAAATGCATAGGGTTTTTTAAATATATGACCTAATACTTCCTACCATCCCCATCCACACACATGCTAGGAGGATCGAGTAGGTCTCGGGATAGAGAGGTTGTGCAAGAGCTCTTTGTAGCGTCTCGACGTCAAGTTCATCCTCAACACACGAGTAGCAGTGCAACACCTCAATGTCGTGCCTGTCTCTACCATGCGAGCTGGATATAGGAATCAAGTCTGTTTCCAAAATGCAAGCTCCCAAGATTTCTTCATTGTTGCTTCGGCTTTACTTGCTTTTAGAGTTTTGAAAGTGTTGCTCATGGAAGCTTCTTCTCTACTTAAACAACAATATTCTTGTCAGATCAAAAGTCACGACGCGAGCTCATAGTGAAGGTAGTGATCTTTCTTTCCTTTTGCGCACTTATTTTACGAAATTTTGTTAAAGCAAAATAGAGAAGGAATGGGATTTAAATTCATGAAGAATTTAAATTTTTTTTTCTAGTGTTTGGCAAGATTTAGGCTAAATTGTGCTTAAATCTACCGTAGAAGGAACAAGATTAAAGTTTCTATAGAATTTAAAGTTTCATTTTTGCTGTTTGGTAGGATTTGTGCTAAATCATGTTTAAATCTTTGCTCAAATCTACCAAAGAAGGAACATGATGTATATTTGATGAGGACATCAGAGATCTACTGCTATGATCGTGCCTATTTATTTTGATCTATTTTATGTATTTGATTTGTTATTGTTCTTTTTTCCTTTTTATCCTCACTTGAGGGCTTTGTCTTATGTATGCTATAGGGGCAATAGTGTCTTTGTTATTTCCCTTAATGTATTTGGCTATTTAAAGTTTCCCTCTTCTCCTTAGAGGGTTAATGAATGAATGATAAAAAAAAATTCCTGCACATGTGTTCTTTGAGTTGTGAGAGTTCTAGGAGAGAGCTTTGGAGAGATCCCTTGGGAGGGAAGTTGGATCACCCACCAACCTTAGAGATGGCCGGGTTCGTGGTTCTTTGTTTTATCTCTCTTTCTTCCTTTGTTACCAAGCCGCTGACCGTGAAGCCCATCCCATCCCACAAGCCGCCGGCCACCATACAACCTCCACTCGCCATCGGGTAAACTCAATTCCATCCCTACCATCATCTGACGAACCACAACCTCCTCACCACCCCACCGAAATTTCCCTCTCAAATCCATCAAGCCGCCGGCCTCATCCCCCTCCTCCCTCCGAAATTCAAATTTCTATTTGAATACTTTCCATAAATACTTACTCTTGATTTGGGAAGGTCTAATTTCAAAATTCAAACAATTTGAATTTAAAATTTTCTTTCCTAATTTAAGAAAATTTATTTTAGGAAAGTTTCTAAATTTAAACCAATTTGAATTTCAAATTCATTTGGACTCAATTAAAACCTTTTCTAATTCCTAAACCCAAAACAAGAAACCTTTAATCCCTCCCCTTAATTCCCTCCAAGGCCATTAATCTCGCCGGCCCCCTTAGGGATTGGATTAGGAATTCTTTCCTAAAATCCAATTCTCCACTTTAGAAACATTTTCAAATCTCATGCTCCCTCCTTGGCCGAAATTTTCAAAAGCCCACCACTCTTAAATACTTTCCAAATCCTAACATTAGAGTTTGGAAACAAATCCCTCATCCCCACCTCTTCTCTTGGCCGAAATCTCCAAGGCCCACCTCAATTTCTGTCCACAAAATTCAGCCCCCCTCAAGTTGGAAATATTTCCAAAACTTGGCCAATACCCACCCGCCTCTTCTCTAGCAGCTTTGCTAGATCTACCTTTTCCAAATTCCTCCCAAACTCCACCCGTTATGTGTTTCCTGTTCTCCAAGCCTGCTGCCAGAATTTCCTTCACCCGTACTTGGTTTTCCCAGAATTCACCCCCAGTAAAAGCAGCTGTCCCTGCTGTTATAATTTCTGTTCTGCATCATTGTAAGTCTAAAGTTGCTGTTTAAAAGCTTCCAGCAGCCCATAACAGCTGCCCAAGGTTTATACAAGCATTAGAGGTTGCTGCCCAGAATTTTCCAAGTGTCAAAGTTGCTGTCCAGCATCCGTAGATACCTCATATTGCTGTTTCGCTGGGTTTTGAAATCAGATTGTTGTCCAAAGACAACGAGAAGAATCAAGGTTGTTGTCTACTTCCTCTCAAGCACGTAAACTCCACACCGGAGCTTCATTTGTCTTGTTTACTTGGGTGATCTTTCCTCCCACTCTTTTATCTTTTAGTCGCTCTCAATTGTAGTTCTAATTGATTCATCAAAAGTTGTGCTAATTCTTCCTGCTAAAGCCTAACATTTATTAGGAGTGGTGTGATAGATCTCTCTTAGCATTATTCTTATTGTTAGATTAGGGATTTCTTGTTGAAACCCATTTCGTTTGCAACATCTAGAGCAATTGATTATTATGTGGTTTTAACTTTTCGCAAGTAACTTGATCTAAGCTTGTGTTTACTGTTCTTTGGTTTTATTTCATTGTTTGAATCATCTTAAAACTTTAATTAATTAGCTCTTACTCAATAAGCGTGCAAAATCCTTATCAAAATCAAATTTTCATATTTGTCCTGCATCAATATTTCTGCGGGATTTAAAGATGTTCTTATTGCTATTTGGCAGGATTTAAGACAAATCATGCTTATATCCTCTTCAATTTCACCGAAGGAACAAGATTAA